TGCCCCCAACCCCCCAGGCCTGCGCGCCCGCCTGCGTGGCCAGGCCAAGGGGAGGGGACGGCGGCCAGGCCGGCGCGGCCTCCCCCTCGACAGGCTCGGCGATAAGGAACGTGGGAACCCGGCGGGCAGGCGGGGGCGGCACCTCCAGAACTTTCCAAAACAAGCTGCCTCCTCCTAGCGGAAACTTTCCACTGCTGGAGCTGCGCCCAAAAGGTGGATCGTCCGCAGTGTCTGCCCGAGAGGGAGAGGGGCCGCGCTTTGGAGGCAGGCGTCGATGTTCAGATAGCCCGAGTCAGTCCCAGTATGAAGGGGCAGAGGGGGCTGAGCACGTCCCGGTGAGGAGGGCCAGGCAGGACTCCCCGCTGGAGAGGGTTTTGATGTACGCACAGGAGATTGTGAGGCGGGAGCGAACTACAGTCCCATTCCCCGGCACCCCTAAAGAAAAGCCCCGCGGAGGAGCTCAGATGCAAGCAGGGACCCATGGGCGGGGCGCCCAGGCCGCTGGCCCTGTCCTGGGGTGATGTAGGTGATGGTACTGCCTGCCGGCCAACCTGCCACCCCAGCATCTGGGAGGGGGAGGCAGAAAGACGGCAGGTGGACGGACGGACAGGAGGACTGGGGCCGAGAGCCCCCCAGGCCTGGACCTGGGGGAGGCGGCTGTGGCCAGGGACCGCCTTGTCTGGGAGGTGTGCGGAACAGGGGCTCCGGGGATGGCGGCGTGAAGAGCACGGCCAGGCTGTTCCAGGTGGCGGGTACACAGCGGCCCGCAGGGCGCCACCTGGCTCTGCTTCCGCCTCCTCAGCCGCCTCAGAACTCTCAGAAGTCTGGCCAAGGCCTGGAGGCCGACTGACCCCGGCCCTTCCCTTTGAAAACAAACATGCTCTGCGCTCTGCTGGGAGCCCAGCGCTCAGCTCCACCGCCTCAGCCGAGCGCTAGCCTAAGACCCCACCACCCCTTGCTGTGAGCTGCTGTTTTTAAAGCAGGCCCAAGGTCTCACCTGCGGGAGAGCCCACCCTGTTTGTCCCAAGTCTGCCATAGTGCCTGACCACCCCAGCCTGCCTGACCAGCATCCTGCAGTGACATACACAAAGCACAAGAGGGTTCGATTCCATCAAATTTATTATAGACTTTAAAAGTCGGCGGTTCACCTGCTTAGTGTACAAAAGACAGGTTCTGAGAAAGGGTCCCCAGGAGGCGCCGCCTCTCCTGTCAACTGTAACGTTTTGGCAAAAGTGAAGACTGTAAACACCAACTCCATGGCTCAAAGTAGACTCCACTGTACAGTCAGTCCGAAGGCGGAGACCACCAATAAGTTAGACCGTCTCGAGCCTGCCAGCACCCGCAGCCCTAGAGCCTGGCCCTGCCCTCCCCTCCCCAAATCTCAAGACAACAGAACAAAACAGACCAACTCAACTGAGAGTCCCTGGGTGGAGTTCCCAGGGCAGGAGGGGTGCCCGCCCGCCCCGCAGTGCAGCGTGGGCCATGCACTGTGCAGGGAATCTAGCCCTGCCCCGTTTAGAAACCAACAGCTGATCAAACATGAAGGGGTGGTTTCCCATAGGGTCTGAGGACCCCAGGGGTCCCAAGGAAAAGCAGAGAGCTGAGCAGGGTAGGACTGGACCAGGCAGGTGCCTCCTGACAGCCCCAAGGTTTAGAAAAATAGACATCTGTGTTTTGAGTTCCTGCTCTCCCTGTTCTGCAGCTGTGGGCGCAGGGACCCTGCAGCCCCCAGCACATGCCCACCATAGCGTCCTTCCGAATGTGCACAGCTCAGAACCCACGCGTGTACACACACACACACACACACACACACACACACACACACACACACGCACGCACTCACGCGCACACACACACACACCAATGGCCCCTAGGATTTGGGGTATGAGAAGACGAGGCACAGTAAGAAAGCAGCAATTGGGGGCCACAGGCCTGCGCCCTGGAGAAGGCGAGCAAGGCACCACCCTCAGTGCCCTGCCAGAGAGGACCCCAGGACCCACGAGGGACGGAGGGACGGAGCGAGGCCGGCAGCGCAGGCCCAACGCAGCCTCCATGGGACATGAAGAGCAGGTGTGTGGGGCTGAGGACCGCACGCTGCCGAGGCCACCGCGGAGGGCTTCAGGCACCGCCGGGAGCTGCGGTGACCTTGCCAGCGGGGATCTGAAGGTGGCGGGACCTGGCGCTGCCCACTCACTCTCCCTGGAGGCACGGAGTAGAAAAGGTACAAAAATAGACGGTCTCTGTGGCAGCCAAAGGGCCGAGTTCATAGAAAACTAGAAAAGGCAGGCGGAGCCCTCCCTGGCGAGTGCGGCTGGTGCGCTAGGGCCAGGCCTGCAGCTGCCGCTGGTCGTACTCGGCGATGAGCCGCTTGATGTGGGCCAGCTTGCGGTGCAGGTACTCACAGCGCCGCTTCTCCCGGCTGTAGTTGGTGTTGGTCTGCAGGGAACCAAGGCGCGGGTGAGACGCCGCCCAGCCAGCACCCGCCAGGTGTGCGGGCTTCCCACCCAGCACCCACTCCGCCTCACGCACCTTTTTGATTTTCCGGTATTCCTGAAGAATCTGCCCACGGGTTGTCTGGGGGGAAACACCAAGAACTAATTTAATTATGCCCCACCGGGGAAAGCTCCAAATGTCAGCCCTCTCTGGAAGTGACCAACCAGACAGGCAGGGCAGGGACAGCCACAGGAGGTGGGTGACCCTGCTGCATCTCTTCCAAGGGTGCAGGGGACATGGCGGGGGAGACACATAGGAAGTGGGTGCCCCAGAAACCCGTGTGCGCTACAAGACCTCCTGAGGCCGGGGCCCAGCCCAGGTCACACTCTGACCCCGGTCGCTGCCGGCTCTGGATGGCGAGCACTACCTCATATTCCTCGGAGCCCTGGCTCAGCTGCCTGAGCTGTTCGTCGAGCTGCGTGAACCTGCGCGTGATCTGCTCGATGCGCGCGTGCAGGCTCCGGTACTCGTTGTATTCGGCGTTGAAGTCATTCTTGTAGCTCTGACGCTGCTCCGATGAGGAGATGGCAGGGTATTTCCTGAGGGACGAGAAGGGCAGCTGGGCTCACGGGCACACTGGGCGGCAGCACCCGGCTCAGGCAGGGTCTGGACGGGGGCACAGCCTAGGTGGGTACTCACAGCAAATAGTCCGGGGTCTCTGACGTGGCCGTGGGGACACTGGCACAGGCTCCATTCAGACCTGCATGAGCAATGCACCCTTAGTCCAGGGCCGGGGCGGGGGTGCAAGCCATGCGTGATGGCCACACGTCTGGGCACTAGCAGTGGGCCAGTGGGAACCCACTGTCCAGGCTACGGCCACAGAGCCCAGACACGCCCCTCTCCCGTGGTCTCTGCACAGTGGCTGGCAGTGGGGGCACCTGCACTGCCTGGGGGCAAACCTGGCCATGCAGACCGCAGGGCAGACGCTATCTCTGACGGCACAGCCGTGAACCGTGCTGGCACTAGCCTTCATGGAGACCCATCAGACCCCAGTCCTTGGCACAGCACACACTGTGGGCTGGGCTGGTCAGGAGCGGGTCCTCCACACAAAAGGCACTCCCGACCAAACCTACCACCGGGAGCCGGTGGATCTAGAAGGGGAGAGCAAGGTGCAGGCAGTACCTGGGCAGGAGTTGCCTGCCAGGCAGAGGACCTCGTTCCAGGCATTTAATTCATTTATTGCAGGTTTCATTTGCAGGTAGCCTGGGCTACCCTCCAAGGCTGGGATGACAGGGTACACTTGCTGCTTCCCTGGGCCAGCAGCTCAGGCCCCCCACACACCCCATTCGATCAGAGCTCTCAGCCTAACCACTGTGGCGGCTGCAGGGCCGACCCACGTGCTGTTCTAGAGGCTGCAGGGCTCCACGCAGGGCCGACTGAGCGGGAGACCCTGGGCACTTGGCCAGGGAGCTGACCCAGCTGACGGCAGTGCAGGGGTACACCGAAGGCCTCTGCTGGGGCCCCCTGGACATGAGCAGATTCACCCCAAGGGCTAGGCCTCAATGGAAGGAGGGAAAAGGAGAGTGTCCTGTGCAGCCACGACATCCTGCCTGAGCACATGGGCCAGGTGACCATCTGGTCCTCACGGGGTGTGCACCGCGTCTGGCTTCTGAGTTTGTCTCTGGTCAGGGTCATATGCCCCGTCTGTCATCCCCGTCAGGAAAGCCAGCAGCGGCCTCTGGCCCCCGAGAGCACCTTCAGCAGGCGTGGCAGTGGTTCAGAGGCCTCCTCTCAAGGACCGCAGACACGGGGCTCCCGATGCCTCTGCCTCACTCCCCGGGGGTCCTCCTGTCCCAGCCGCCACTGCCCCCGATACAGCCGCTCTCTTCACTGGCCCAGCACATCAGCGCTCCCAGACGTTGCTTCCCATGGTAACCTGGCCCGGGTGCTTCAGCCCCGCGCTCCAAGCACTGAGCAGGCTGGTGGCCACAAACCGTGGCCCCAGGTCCTGACTCCAGTGGTGTTCTCACACCCACACCCCAGCGGCTCAGAGAATCAACCGGGTGGTACTGACCTGGGGTGTCTGGGAGCAGGGCAGGGGCGGCAGGGGCGTCAGGGGCGTCGGGCTGTGGAGCAGGGGGCCTGTCCTCGGGGGGCCGCTCTCTGTCCTTGTGCTTCTTGGACTTCTTCTTGGGTCGGCTGTGACTGTGCGAGCAGCCAGCAGGTCGCTCAGGCTGGGTCAAGTCCGTCAGCAGGGGCAGACCGAGGTGAGGGGCTGGGGCTGGGGTGGCCTCCTGGTGCTTGTAGTCCTGGGCACTGTGGCCCAGGTCATTACTGACATCAGCCAGGGGGTCGTGGGTCCGTGGGGGCTCCAGCCGTGGGGGCAGATGGCTAGAACTGAAGGTGTCCGTGGGGGTGGGCCCCAGGGTGGGCAGCATGGTCTCGTGGCCATTGGGGGTGCCCAGTTTGCCATTGAGGGTAGGCTGTGCTCGCTGTGTGAAGTGGGAGATCCGGGGCTTCTTGCTGGCCAGGGGGTCAATGAAGTCTGTGGACTGTGGCCGTTTCTGAAAAGTGACCAGAGAAGAACCAGTAACCACCGTCAGGGCCTGCTGTGGCCACATGGGGGCGCCCGCACACAGCTGGCCACACACGCGGAAGGCGGTCGACACAGGTGCCTGCCCTGATTGGGCAGTGCCAGGAGGGGAGCAAGGTCACTCACAGGCCTTCTGCAGATACATGGCTGTGGGCACTGGGGGGTGAAGGGACAAGATCTGGGGACACATGGCCACCCAGACAGACCCTCCGGGCCCCTGAAGAAAGCGATTCCCCTAAGGGAATTGCACGACTTAGGCAGTGGACATTGACACCCAGGGAGGGCTGTGGGGTACCAATGAAGACCCCACCCTCCTATCCCCAGGCAGGTACCTGAGAGGGTGAGGCTGCGCGCCCGTGCTCCCGGGGTGGGCTGGAGGCAGTGGAGTCGGAGATGGCATTCTGCGGCTGGCACAGCTTCCTGTACGGAGTGGTAGAGGCACCATAGTGGCACTGCCACTGTGCCCTGGGGACCACGGCTACACCGAGGGCCAGATTCCCAGAGCCAGAGCTGGGCTGCATGCGGGACAGGTGCCCAGCTGAGCCAGTCTGGGTCCTCAGGGAGGTGTGGGCAGTCAGCACGTGGGGCCCCGCGGCACAAAGGCCATCCTGTGTCAGCTGTGACCTTGTATGTGGTCCTGCTTTGCACAAGGTGTCACCCTCACTGCCAGCCTGACCTGGTACTGAGCACCCAGTGGCTCATCACTCATCACAGGGGATGAGAGGTGATGACTGGCCCACTCACACAGGTGAAGTACACCCTTGCCTGTGGACGGTAAGAGGCCCACTGTGGACCTTCAGCACCTGGGTGCAGGGGACCCCTGCCAACGGGGCGTACGCTTCTCAGCGCAGCACTAGTGGAGGTAGAGACAGGAGGCAGGTCGGGAGTTAAGACATGCATTTGGATGAGGGACAGCATGCCATGCCATGAGTTAAGACCCTGGCTAAAAAAAAAAGAAAAGAAGCCGGGCGGTGGTGGTGCACACCTTTAATCCCAGCACTTGGGAGGCAGAGGCAGGCGGATCTCTGAGTTCGAGGCCAGCCAGAGTGAGCTGGTGTCCCTAACTTGAGGAATCGATAGCAATCTCTCAGTGAGAAATCACTCAAGAACCAATTAGCTGCCCTACTCCCAGCACCGATGCCCAGGGGAAGCATTTAATCATTGTGCCACTCTCAGGAGTCTGCCTCAGGTACTCTGAGGGCCCAAGAGGCTCATTAGAAGCCATGGGGACATGGATGGGACACCCCGGCCCCGAGGAGCCTGCACTGTTAGGGACGGCTATGATCGAGAGCCATCCATCTGTCAGGCTGTGGCCTGCCCAAGGCCTCTGAGGCTGGGGCTGGAGGTGGGGCCGCTGCCACCCACGTCCACACAGGACCTTACCGCATGAGCACCCGCTTCAGCAGCTGCTGGTCGCCCTCCGAGTAGCCGGGCCAGTCCTTCTGGACATCTTTGTACATGCAGTCCCTCAGAGTGCACGTGCCGTCTTTGGGGTTTACACTGGCCACCTGCACGATATCCAGTTGTCACTAAGCAAGTCTGGGGTGGTGAATGATTGGGGATTCTACAGGGACATGCATGCGGATGGCACCTGTGTTCTCAGGCTAGACCACCTCAGCCTCCCTGCGCTTGACCACGGAAGGTTGACATTGTCTTTGGATGAGGGACAGCATGCCACCCATATACCCACAGCCCCTCACAAGCCTCCAGCCCTTTCAGATTGGTGACCACCAGCCAGTTCTCTCTCGCTCATCCCAGGCTGTCTGTCAGCTGAGGCTCAGGGCATCTCATCAGAGGGGCCTCGAGGGGCCAAGGCCACGTCTGTGCCAGCCTTGCTGGGCTACAGAGTGAGGCACATGCATACACCAGCCACTCAGCTGTCCCAAGACCATATCCTGTGAGTACTCGGAGTTCTGCCATTTGAGAGGAATGGGTTTTGGGATTTGGAGATATAATATAGCCTTGCCTTGTAGCCCAGACTGGCCCTGAACTTAAAATTGCTTGTCTCTGGATGCTGGGATCACAGGTGTGCCAGCATGCCAAGCTGGCAGGGCCTTTTCCTGGCTGAGTGATGGTCACTCCATGATGGCACGTGGTCTGACCATCTTCTACTGCCAGCATCCTGCCCTAGGGCAGACTTGTGGCTTCCTTGGTCTGTCTACCCACCTGGACTGCCTGCCCTGCTTGTGCTCAAGGCCTCACTGCAGAGCTCAGGGCCTCTGCTGACCTGGGAAGGTTGTAAAGGAGCATTCTCAAAACCTGTGGGATTCTGCTACCCACAGACACACCATCTGTTCCAAGTGCAGTTGATAGGGCTGCTTACATGAGAGAGGCCTGGGAACCGCACGCTGCACCTGTGTGCACTCCATGGTCTCTCCTGACTCCAGAGCCTTCTGTGAGACTCCTGACAGTGTGCTGTTACCCAGAGCACAGGGCAGGGTCAACCCCAACCCACCTCCACGCTGTTCCCCAAGGCCTGGCTGGTGCTGTCAAATTTATTATTTTTTTAATTTTACATGTGTGGGCATTTTGCCCAAATGTGTGTGTCTGCACCATGTGCATGCCTGGTGCCGATGGGGACCAGAAGAGGGTGTCAGATCCCCTGAAACTGGAGTTCCAGTTGTGAACCAACACATGGGTGCTGGGAACAGAACCTGTGTCCTCTGCAAGAGCAGCCAGTGCTCCTAACCACTGAGCCGTCTCTCCAGCCCTTGACTGTGTTTTCAGTGGGTAGGGTGGGAAACGCTGTGACTGGACTCAAGACTGCATCACCAGACAGCCAGCTCCTTTCTCCACTGAGAACCCCATCACCCGTGGCTAGGGGCTGGAGTCAGCACCAGGGCTCGCCCTGCAGAGCCCCAGGAAGTGTCGTGGGTGGGAGCAGCGGGAAGGCAGAGCCCGGCGTGAACAGGCAGGGCAACAGCGGTCACAGACACAGCTCTGAGCAGGTCTCCTGGCAGCGGCTGCTTGCCAAAACTGTGCTCCAACACCATACAGGTCCGTGGGTACTGCCTGCTAGGAAAGCACTGAGGACATGTCCATGGCTCCAGGAGGCTGGGCCTGAGACCACCGTGGAGTCAGGAAGCCTGGAGAACTGTCTTCCCAATGCTCACTGCACGTGTGGTCAGGCTGGTCTGTACCCACCTGCTGCAGCAGGCCGTCCAGGGTGTCCTTGTCCGCCTGCGTCAGCCCGTCCTTCTGCAGCCGCAGCAGCAGCTCGGCCTTCCTGTAGGGCCTCAGGGCCAGGAGGTGCAGCACCCGGTCTCGGAAGGGCCTCTGTACCACACTGCTGGCTCCGCTCCCACCGCTCTTTCTGATGGCACTTGCCAGGTTGATGGGCGTGGCCCGCTTCCGGGAGGGCACCGCATCGGCTGCCCCTGGTGCTGGCTTCCGGAACTGAACCTTTTTGCCTGCAGTGAGAGCTTGGGTGTCAGGGTGCAGTGGGCAGCCATACACCCTGCCACAGAGGGTGCAGCAGGTTTAACACTGAGGAACAGCATCAGGGTCCACAGCACAGCACAGCAAGCAGTGGGCAACAGAAGAGAGGCGGGGGAAGAGACTGTGCAACTGAGCGTGTATGCATCTTGCCACAGCCCAGAGACAGAAGGCACTGGGGATGACACGTCCCAGCCTGTGGAATTAGGAAAGCCAACCACCATGGGATATGTGAAATCGGAGCCCTAGCACCCAACCCCGAGAAGCCTTCAGCCAGAACTTCCTTCACAATCTGGTTCAGTCTGGTATGGAGACAGGGTCTCACTATGTAGGCCAGGCTATCGACTCACCATCCTCCTGCCTCAGCCTCCTGGGTGCTGAGATGACAGGTTAGATAGTGCCTGTCTCAGAAGTCCCCGTGGTACTATAACACGGTGTGACAAGATGAGGTTGACAACCGCACTGTGTCCACAGGACCACAGATCCATTTACATGCGTGCAGACCCCATCTTGACCTTGAGAGTGCCTGTCACCAGGGACAGCACAGAGGACAAAGTGCTCGCTCGACTTAAGTCCTACCCAAAGCTGCCCACTGCAAGTGTGCGGGGTTGGGGAGAAGCAATATGGAATTCCAGCTCTTATTTTTCAGAGATGCACTTGTTTTTACATGTGCATTTTGCCTGGGTGCACGTCTGAGCCCTTATGTGCAGGGGCCAGTAGAGGGCGCTGGACCACCTGAACCAAACCTGGGTCCTCAGCCGAGCCTTCTCTCCACTTCACCTCCCCTCCCCACGTGGACCAGACTGGCCTCGAACTCACCACACGTGCTACAGTGGACAGCAAAGTCCACAAGCCCTCAGGCCGGCACCAAGCTCTACAAGCACCCACGGAGGCTGAGCTCCCGAGAAACAGTCTCCCCGGGAAGAGCACACCAACTGACAGCCGGTGAGTGCCGTCACACAGGCCGCGCAGGCTGCACTGTGCATCAGGAACACACACATCACTACACAAATGGAAACATCACACAGCAAGCAGAGGCCCTTCCTTCCTTCCGCCCTGCTGACGCCTGGCGCTGGCCCATTCACTGCTGGATCGATTGCTCATGAGGCCAAGCTCGCCCACCTCCCAGTCCGCAGCTGTGGCCACAGTGCCCTTTGGAGGAGTGGCTGGGGACAGCTGGAGAGCCAAGTAGGGCCTTGACCTGCCCATAGCCCTGCGCGTCTCTGATGAAGGTCCCCAGGGCACAGACTGGGAGAGGGTGGCTGACCCAGGCCCTGCAGCCACAGCCCTACCCTCCTACACCCTCCGACGTGGACCTGTGGACACTGCCGGCCACTCACCCACGTAGCGGCCTCCAGCCTTGATGACGATGGCACTCCGGCTCCGAGTCTCCTCCTCCGCCTGTGCCAGGCTCTGTCGGGCCTTCTGGTAGGAGTCATCAGTGGCGCACACAGTGACCTTGTCCTGGATGCTGCCCAGGCAGTCCAGGTGTACATCCCCATGGCTGCAGAACAAGGGCAAGTGCCACCACTGGGGTGCCATCTGAGCCATGCCATCCAGCCCGGGGGACTGCAGGAAGAGGCTCAGGCTAGCTGAGGCAGTTGTGGGGCCCCGGGGCCTGAGGGCCTTACCTGGAGACATACTGCTGGATGCAGTCAAAGCTGCCCTGCGGGCCGTCTCGGCCGATGTTGGAGAGGTAGAAGGAGAAGGCCCGTGCCTCCTCAGGGCAGTCAGGCTGGGGTATGGAGATGTGCTGTGGGGAGAGGGTGCTGCTGTGGTCCTTGGTGTGCGGAGGCTGCAGCGCAAGGCAGCAGTCACCCCCCAGACACCATGCAATGGCCGCCAATATGCAGCCTGCACAGCGGGACATGGAAGCGTCTTCCTCCGTGGGACCTCCTGGCATGAAGGGTGGCAACTCAGCCCCACACTCTTGTCAGACTCAGGCAGCAGAGGAGCGCCCCCTAACCCCTGACCTCTGGGTGTCACTCAGGTTCCCCACCTGTCAATGGGGTTGCCCTGACCTGGGGCATCCATGAAGGTCAAGATGCATCCAGCTGCCAGGACGGCCTGCACCCCTGCCAGCACGGGTCTGCAGACAGACACGGTGTGCATTCCATCCTATGGCCCTGCCTGGCTCAGCAACCAAACCTAAAGGCCCCATTGCCTGTGTCTGCCTTAATGCAGATGTGGGTTTTTGTTTTGTGTGTGGTTTTTATCGAGACACAGTTCCTCTATGAAACAGCTCTGGTTATCCTAGACCACACTATGTAGACCAGGCTGGCCTTGAACTCACCAACATCCACCTGCCTCTGACCTCTGGAGTGCTGGGACTAAAGGCGTGTGTCACCACCACTGCCCAGCTCAAATGTGTTTGTTTTTGGAGACAGGGTCTCTAGCCTAGCCCAATCTCAAATTCACAATGTGGCCCAGGCTGACCTTGAACTTCTCACTGTCCTGCCTCCACTTCCTCAGGGCTGGGATGACAGGTGTGCACCACACCTGGTTTGCTTGGCAACTGGGGACAAACTCAGAGCCTCAGGAATGCTGCAGACCAGTATTGTACCCACCTAGCTCCAGGCCCGGAATGTTTTCATCAGGTCCAAAGAGGACATAGTGGCCTGCACCTAGCGTCTAAGATGTCAAACCCTGGCCTGCCTCTCACAACTCACCCTGGGTGTGAGGTGTGCACGCTCAATAATCACAAGCACATGGCCTCATATGTGCATGCACAACACTCACACATATGCATACACACACTTACACTACACACACACACACACACACACACACACACACACACACACACACACACACACACCCCTCTGGCTCTCCAGCCTGCAAGGAGTCATGAAAGCAATGCCGCCAAGACTCATACCATCTGCCAAGGTCCCAGCTGTGGCTTTTGCTCTCTACTGAATGGCGACAGGAAGCAGCTACCTGGCTGTAGGCTCAGGGAACTGCAAGGGACTTCTGAATGGGCCCAGTATGTGGAGACTCCATGCCACCTGTCCTCAACACGTATTCCTAGCTTAGGCTGTAGCTGAGACATTCCCTGGCACAAGCCCTGAGTCACAGCCAGTGACAGCCGGGCTCCTTATACACACAGGGATGGCAGCCTGAGCTCAAGGTCCTGTAGTGCACAGATCACGGAAGGGTCCCATGTGGGTCTCATGTGCTACTCAGAGCTGGGGGTTCTGACTGAGCCTGCAGAGAGGGGCGAGCAGGGAGCTCGGCACCCGGGGACAGGAAGACAGGGCTGGAGCCATGTCATCTTGGCCAGGGTGGAAGGGATGGGCAGGGAAGCTACTCAGAGCCAGTGCAGGGCGTGAGGCCAGGGGTCAAAGGTCCAGGGGGCTGGGTCTGCCTCGGCGAATGCTTCGGTTGCCCAGGGCGATGCCCAGTGTGCAGCTCAGAGCCTGCTGATGTCTCAGATGGCAGGGGGTGCAGCTGGCACTTAGAACTTCTAGGGAGGCCCCAGCTTGGCTCTAGGTTGTCTGAGGTGAGAAGGGGCCTACGTTCAGCATCCGCAGGCACAGAGCCTAGTGAGGTGGGCTGAGACCTGGGAGCCACCCTGCCTGTCTGAGGCACAGCTACCAGGGGCACTGGCATCACCCCAAGCCTGTTTAGCTCTCCCTGTAGTCCTGGCTCAAGATGATCTGTGTGAGGGGAAGAGTCTTCCACAGGAGCTAAGTTGGGTGGCAGGCTAACAGCTGAGAAATGTCTTGAGCAATGTTTTCTCCGTTTAAAACAACATAAAGGGCCAGGCGGTGGTGGCACACGCCTTTGATCCCAGGACTCGGGAGGCAGAGGCAGGCGGGTCTCTGCGAGTTCAAGGCCAGCCTGGTCTCCAAAGCGAGTTCCAGGAAAGGCGCAAAGCTACACAGAGAAACCCTGTCTCAAAAAACCAAAAAAAAAAAAGGTAGGGGCTAGAGAGATTGCTTTAGCCTTAAGAGCACTTGCACAGGACCTGGGTTCCGATTGCAGCACTTACATGGTGGCTCTCAACCACCAGTCCCAGGGCACGCAAAGTTCTCCTCTTCTATCTCAGCGGGCACTGAGCATTTAGTGCACAGACAGACAGACAGACAGACATGCAGGAAAATTAGGGGGGAAAAGATGTTGTGGGATATTTGTACACTGTGTGAAGATATATTGCTGGGATTGCTATAATAAAGAGCTGAATGGCCAACAGCTAGGCAAGAGGTATAGGCGGGACTTCTGGGCAGGGAAAGAGGAAGTAAGAGATGAATTTAGGTGCAAGAGAGACAGACACACAGAAGGGGACAGAGGTAAAAGTCATATGGTAGAATGTAGACTGATAAAAATATGGGTTAAGTTCTAAGAGCTAGTTAGCAACAAGCCTAAGCTAAAGGCCAAGCCTTCATAGTTAATAATAAGTCTCTGCGTCGTCATTCGGGAGCTGGCGGTCGTGGCTTGAGCAGGAATACCCCACAGGCTCATCTATGTGATGCTTAGTCACCAGGGGAAGGCCCTGTCCGACAGCATTAGAAGGGTTAGGAGGTGTGGCCTTGTTGGAGGAGGTGTGGCCTTGTTGGAGGAGGTGT